GAACTCCCAATTAGCCAAAAAGAGCCAGGCCACTGCCAATCCAGTCGTATCAGTAGCACTGCTTGCAAATTTATTCTTTCAGCCTCTTCTCTTCTCTCAGTCTCACCAAGTTGTTGAAGTTGTTCAGTGCCAAGAGTTCAGGTGACTCTTTAGGCCAGGCAAATTCATAGTATCCTGCTGTCAGGACCTCACTCTTCACCTCAGGTACCCCCTAAATCCCAGTGTATCTGCCTGAGAAGAATGCTGAAGAAGAACATAAATTTCCCATGGGTATGCCAGAAACCAGGGGAAGAACAAAAGGAACAGAAAGATAGGAAAATGAAACACCAAATTTCTGAAAAACAGATTTTGACTACACTGTGTCTTCCATGTGGGATCCCAACTAGACCAAATCCAGTCACTGGAGTGGGTTCTGTGGGCCAGCAAGGTCCCTTTTTTCATGGGACTGACAGCAAGAAAGACTGAGAATGCACAAAGGTGCTGAGTAGGCAGTCTTCCCAGATTATTACCAGCATCACCCTGTACCTGTTTTCTGTCATGGTTTTTCCTGGATTAGAGATAGTTTTGCTTGATATGGTGCTTTGTTTTGGATTTGGGCAGAAAACAGCAATACAGAAGTTTTAGCTGTGACTCAGCAGTGCTGCTGCTGAGTCGAGGACATTTCAGCTTCTGCTGCTGCTCTGACAGCAAAGGGACTGGAGGCGGCAGAGATTGCTGGGAGGGGACAGAACCAGGACAGCTGATCTAATGCAGATATAAAGGGACGCTCCATGCCATAGAGTATCATGTTAAAAATAAAATGGGGAGATGGCTGGAGTGGCTGCCTGTCCTCAGGAACTAGCTGGGCACTGGTCACCTGGTGATGAGCAGTTGTGTTGGGCAGCACTTGCTTTGTTTGTTCTCGCTGTCTTTGTTACTGTTAGGTTTTGTATTGTTGTTTTCTTTACCTTCTTTCCTCCCTTCTTATTAAACTGTCTAAGCCAGTCCGCGAGTTCTCGACTTTCCTTTTCCGTTCTCTCCCCATCCTACAGCAGGGGGCAGCATCGGAACGTCAATGTGGCATTTTGCGCTGCAGTCTCATAGAAACACAGAATCACAGAATGGCCTGTGTTGCACAGGAGCACAGTGCTCATCCAGTTCCAACCCCTGCTGTGTGCAGGTCACCAACCAGCAGCCCAGGCTGCCCAGAGCCACATCCAGCCTGGCCTTGAATGCCTGCAGGGATGGGGCATCCACAGCCTCCTTGGGCAACCTGTGCCAGTGCCTCACCACCCTCTGGCTGAAAAACTTCCTCCTAACATCCAACCTAAACCTCCTCTGACTCAGTTTAAAGCCATTCCCCCTTGTCCTATCACTATCCACCCTTATAAACACTCATTCCCCCTACTTTCAAGTATTCTTCAAGTATCTGAAGGCCACACTGAGGTCTCCCTGGAGCGTTCTCTTCTGTCTCTTCTGTCTCCAAGGCAGAAGAGTCTTCCATACTTTCTGACCAGTGATCCTTGCAGCTACGCCTGCTTCAAAGGAGCTAATGGCACAGAAGTCTGTTGTCAGCTGTACCTCAGCTGTGCTCTCTGTGCAATTGTTATCCCTCCATAGCAGCATCACTTCTGAATCTGACACCGACACTGATCTGAATCATTCTTGCAGTAGCACTCAGCAAATGCTTTCCCTCAGTGCTCTACAAGACTCACCTTCTGCCCCAGACACTTATACTCAAATCATGCATTTTCCTGATGCCTGCTGATGAAGAATGGAGCTTTTTCTGCCTCCACTGCGGACACCAATTTTGTGAAGTATGTGGAAGAGAAGACAAATGACACGATCTAAAATAATGCCTCCTTTTTATTTCGTGGCACTACAAAATATACAAAAAGCACAATAACAAAAGCAATTTCTCAGCTACAAAACACTATTTTTCGACACAGTCACCACCAAAAGCCATGTACTTTCAACAGCATTGAACAGGAGTCTGCATGCAGTGCTGGTAAAAATCTGCACCAATGGAGATGGCCCACATTATATCTTCAGTGTAGTGACAAAGATTATCGTATGCTTTGTTGTTTTTTTTCTGCCTGAGCTTCTTGATTTATAACACTGTTATTACGTTTTCCTCCAGGAGGATTAAGAGATTCACAATAAATAACATTACATTGAATCAACACTTTTTTTTTTCTTTTTTTTCTTTTTTTTTTTTTTTTTTTTTTTTTTTTTTAAAATATTTCTTTGCACTTCAGCCTTGATGTGTGCAGGAGATGAGAATGAGTTTAATGTGTTTGCCCAGATGCAGGTTCCTGGGAGCATCAGAAGCTCCAAAGTTCCCGAAGAGCCCAAGATAACAGCAGTGACTCCCTTCAGCAATAAGGTAGGCAGAAGTTGATGGTCAACTTGCCATAAAGAAGGAATCCACCAACCAGGCCATCAGGATTAGTTTTCTCCTTATGAGTCTGTAATGAGTTAAATGATGCTGTAATGGAGTTAAATGCAAGCAAGCAAGCAGATCTACCACATTGGAGTCCTAATGGGCTGACACTTGAGACAGTATGATTTTTGATTGCATGCTTGATGAAGACGTACTCCTGAGCCTTAGGATTAAGTCTGAGCTCTCTTACCAACCTGTCTGCTGTGTAACCCCATGCTGAATCCTCAGAAGTTGTTGTGTTTGTTTTGGACTCTCAGCTAAGTGGTGTGCATGGCCTGCCTTGGAGGTACTGGCTGACCTCCTCACTGCTATTGTGTAAAACAGCATCTGTATCCATTCTCACAAAAGGCCCACTCTAGTCACGAGGGTCTTTTAGATCTTCGGAATCTACAGTTAGCAGAGGAGTGGGATAAAAATATGTTATTTCTGAATAGTTTTTCCATGGCAGGTCAGAAGCACAGCAAGGCATTTGCTCTCCCCACAGCATGCTTTCTGTTGTCCACAAGTCTGCCACTCATTTACCTGTGTGCGTGTCCTCCTACTTTATCCAGCAGTCAGTGTGCCCTTGATCTTGCACTCTGGCTCAATGTCTGCAGAGATCAGGAAGGATCTCTTGCCTCCCCTTCCTTTCATTGGAGGAAAAAAAAAAAAGAAATGCAGTAACTTGCACAGTACAGACCCTTTCCAAAGAGAACGTGAGGCTCATTTGACTTTTGAGAGGCCACCTTAAGTTTCTGTTATGTTTTGTGGTCCTCAGCAGTGCGGCAGCACTCGACCGTCCCACCTGGGCCAAGAGAGCGTGCCCTGATCGTGGGGCTGGTCCTCCTGTGCCGCACGGCATCGGACTCCCGTTGTCCCGCTTCTCCAGCCAGCCGAACTTCCTCTAGATGGCAGCAGGCTCCGCGGATCTGTCTTCTACGCTCACTGGTTTTGTAGCCGACTACAGAGTTTAGACCATCGTCTAGGCCATTAATGAAGATACTGAACGGTATCTAAAACTACAGGGCGCATGGCTGAGCAGCACTGCGGGAAGTGAAGTGAAGAAGGAAAGGAGGAAAGAGGAGAGAGGAGGAAAGGGGAGAAGATGGAAAGAGGACAGAAAATGGAGACACAGTCCAAAACAAAACAAAACAAAATAAAAAAGATCTCATTACTCTATATTACTCCATGAGAAATCAAGAGCAAAAGTCCCTGTGCAGTGTCTGGGCAACACCATGAAGCCACCCAGAAGTGCAGCCACCAGCTTACAGAAGTTCACACACGCCCTGCAGATGCACCATCACACCTCTCCCACACAGCCACCCACAGCCATGAAAGCTGCAGTCAGTGGATTGCCACCTCTGCCTGGAAAATTCTGTCAGCCTCCCTGCTCGCTTCCTTCCGCGCTGTCTCTGTGAGTATCTGTGCTCTTCCCTAGATACTGTTCCCACCACACACAGCTTCTCTCCTGCCTCTCTTTGTGTGAACGTCCTGCAGCATGCACAGCATGTCTGTGCATTGCCCCACCGCCACGTGGCCCCACTCTTCATGCTTTCTGTGGGTGTTTCCAGCTGTTCAGACAGCGGTCTAAGAGTTTATCCCCATCCAAGACAACAACAGTACTAAAAACAGAGGTGTTTTTGTTTGTTTGTTTGTTTGTTTTTGTAGTCCATTTTTCTGTTCCTGACTCGTTCATGTGCTCTTCCCTTTCAAAAGCCAAACGAATGCCTTCCAGAGATCTCTCTTTTTCTTTTTTTTCTTTTTTTCTTTTTTCTTTTTTTCCCTCACAAATATCTGTGTCTCGCACCTAAATTTGTGCTCTCCTTAACACCAGCTGTGAAGGCTGTTTGGAGGAGAACTTCTCCTCCACTTCTGCCTGCAGAAGTAATCGAAGCTGGTTCTGGTACTGACACTCGCACAGGAGTTGTCACTGCGGGGAGAGGCAGGAATTTTCTTCCGTGGCCCCTCTTTACAGGACTGGGAAGCAGAGGCGGTGGCACAACGTTTGCCGGCCCCTCGCGGCAGAGGAGCCGCAGGACGAGCGCAGCCCCACCTGGGGAACCGCAGCGCCCCGCGGTTACCTCGGCTGGCTCCGTAGCGTGGGATTCCCGAGCGTGAAATCAAGACTTTTTTCCAAACGCTGTCATCAGAACAGTGACTTTATTAACAGAGACGAACACAGGATTAAACCACTTTATGAGTTCGCCGAAACGCACAGTGTACCTGCGGAGGACAGACATATTTATGTACATCAGTTCGTCGTAGAAACGTGAGAAATTTGTTTGAGGCGGCTGGGATATCCCCTGGTAGTTTACAACGGATCCAGATAGCTTCCTCTTCACGGTGGCTCCGCTGAAGCGGCTGCTCCTCCGACGGTTCCCCCAGCTGCACCCGGGGCGCCCCCGCCGTCCGCCGCGAGTCTTCCTCGGTGCGCGGCGCCGCCGCTGCCCCCGGCCCGGCGTCGGAGGGGCGAGCAGGAGGCGATCGGGGCGCGCCTGGCGCAGCTCTGCTCACACGGCTCCGCATCCCCCGCGGAACGCCGAACCCCGCGGCGGGCGGGCGTCCCGTGGGAGGAGCGGGCCGCGCTTTTCCTGAACGGACGAAAACCAAACGGGGAAAGAGGGCCGGGGAGAGGGCAGGAGGGAGAATGGCTCCACGGGTGTCGGATGTCTGTGCGGTGTCGGGCGGGCGGACGCTGCCCCGCGCCGGTGCTGCCGCTCACAGGCACTTGAGAAGGAAGGAGTTGCACGATGTGCCCCGCGGGCAGTCGCAGAGCTTCCCGATGCGGGCCCCCTTCCTCACGGCGCACTGCTCTCCGGCGTCGCACTGCGGGAGGCGGAGGGCGCTCAGAGGGCCGCCCGGTCTCATCCCGCCCATCCCGATCCCTCCCTTTCCACTCCCGCCCGGTACCGTCCCGTCGCTCTCTCACCATCGGCACCTGCCCGAACTTTTTCTCGTAGTGCGGCACCCGCTTGCTCTTCAGCTTCTCCAGCACCTCCTGCAGCGCCTCGATCTGCCGAGAGACCCAGAGCCCCGTCAGCCCGCCGCAGCCGCCGCCCGCCCCCTCGTCGCGCTCAGCCCCCCCGTCCCCGCCCCACCAGCTCCTTCTCTCGGGACGCGCCGCCGCCGCCGCCGCCGTGCGGCCCGAGGTCGCGGTCGCGGCGCGGAGCGGGCGGCCCCTGCCCGCGGGCGCTGAGCAGCAGCGCGGCCGCCACGGCGCAGAGTGCCAGCGCCCGGCAGCTCTCCATGGTGCTGCCGACTCCCGCCGCGCCGCGCTGCCTTTATAGCGCCGCGCCCGCCCCGCCGTGCGTCAGCGCCCGATCCCGGCGCGGCGCCTCCCGCCCCCGGCGACACGGGCTGAGCCCGGTCCGCCCTGCTCCAGCGGCGGGCGAGGCGGAGGACGGAGCGCCTCCCGAGTGCTCCCTGACTGTCGTAGGGCTGGGAACCGCGCCGTGCGGGAGCAGCGCCGTGTGAGAGGTGGCGAGATGGACGGAAGCCCGAGGATCGTTGGGGACGCAGCGGGCCTGGGAGTCAACGCGGGCATGTGAGAGCAGAGAGAGCTGGAGGCAGTGGTCTGCGGCAGGGTGCGATAAGAAGATGCATCTTTGTTATGAGCTTGCCAAAAGGGAAGAGACCGACTTTTTGTGTGGTCTGACAGTGGTATGGGCAGTTTTGAGCTGCAAGAGGGTAGAGTTACATGAGTTGTTAGGTTATTAGATTAGATATCCTAACATTAGATGTTAGGATACTCATAGCCTGGTGAAGTGCTGGCACAGACTGCACGGAGGGGCTGCAAATGCCCCAAATGCCTGCATTCCAGGCAGGTGGAGCAGCCTGATCTAGCAGCTGGCAACCCTGCCCGTGGCAATGGGGCTGGAACTGGGTGGGCTTTAAGGTTCCTAACTGTACAAACCATCCTGTGGTTCTGTAGACAGACAGAACTAGAGGATCACCTGAAGGATGCAGATGGAGAGGGGCATAAGGACATTGAGCAACCAGCTGACAAGGATGCACAGCTTGAACGAGGGGTTGGCAGCGGGGTGGGTAGGCTCAGAGCATTGGAGAGCGAGATAAATGTGCAAGAAAAGGATGAAAGTGATAAAATGGCACTTGGAGAGTAACTGTGAGAAGGAGTTCCAAGGTAAAGCATTGGTGTGTTGAGTACATTGCATCCTGCATTGCATCCACTGGCTTTGGTGGGAGAACAGCACACTCACCAAAAAAGAACTAGTGCCAGCATGCGTGTGTAAGTCTTGCACACATCCTCCTTCAGCCCCTTGGCTGATCTTGCCTCTCCAGAATTACATGGAATAAATGTGCCTGAGACTCAGCCAGTCGTGGCAGGGCAGGAGGACAAGAGAACTTCTCTGGCTGAGAACTGCAGGGTTGTGCTAGGAGGGCACCTGCAAGGAGAGAAAGAATCCCCAGGCAGGGCTCAGGACAAGGACTGGGGAAACGCAGCGTGGAGCTGAGCAGAGCGGCTGGCACCATAGGCTCCGTGGGGGCTGAGGGCACCAGGAGGCAGCACACAAGGTCTGCCTGGGGGAGGCCCCTGATCCTGACCGGTGTGTGGGTTGCTCCTCCCTCCATCTGACAACTGCAGGAAGTGAGCCTGGTCCCCCCGATGGAGGGATTGTCTGAGAAGGAAGAAATTGGAAAACCTCCTGAATAGAATTCTCTTGGCTGGTGATTCATCAGGAACAGGCTGAAATGTCAAAACAACCTGGGCAAAAAAGATGTCGTTCAAAGAAAAGAAACAAAACAGGCCCAGGGGCATAGTTTTTCCAAATAGAAAGCAATGTGTGATGGGACTGACAGGAAACGTGGCCTAACAAGCAATTTTCAACAGCCCCATCTTGTCTGAGGCAGAAAGAAGATCTGAATCTCTCCAATGGTCGTGCTGCTTGCCTCAAGAGCTGCAGGCTCACCTCTTGCTCTTGTCCCCTCCCACACGCTCCTATTGATGATCTATAACAGAGGTCTCATCTGTAATTGCTCTTCAGAGCAGAATCCTCTCTGTGTTTACACAAATCCTCCAGCCTCGTTTTGCTACAGAGAAGGCTGAGATGTCAGCCGTGGGGCTGATAGTCAACCACTCACAGCAAATCCCATGTCTCAGGCTGGGGCAGAAGTGCAGCAATGCAAACTACTGGAAATAATGGACCTGCCAGAGCCTTTCTTAGAGCAAAGAAATAACACAGACAAGAAAAACGCCGTGCTTCATATGGACAGGCAGATAGATATACAGCCTGTTCAGCTTTGAAAGCGCCATCTGTGAAGCCTGGCCAAAAATTCAAACTATATTTTACAGTGTGAGGATTATGCGTGCAGTATTGAAAACACCACAGGGGTGATCAGAAAATATCACTGTTTTCTTTCTGACTTGTACTTCTGGATGAAGTCGGCTCCCACAGTGAAAGTATGATGGACTGTGGGAGCAATTAGAGATTTGTCTACAAAAGTCACTGTGTCTGTCTGTCTGCAGACGCCTACAGAATGGCACCTTGCTGTGACTTACCTGTTGCTGTCTTTATTACACTGTCTCTGCAAACACTGCTGTGCTCTGCTCCATATTTGGTTAGTCTTGCAGACTGTAAAAATGGAGGATAAAAGGTTATCTGCGTGTTATAAAAAAAGTGAGATGCTACCACGTCAGCGAGAAGAGCAGGGTAACGGTGTGAAAAGGGCAAAGTTTCTATTTACAGCTACAAAAAAGGTAGATGCTTTTTGGCCACAGCATCAGTAGCCAGCCATAAGGCTAACTCAGCTCCAAATTACCCACATGAACCCAGTCAAACCTTGCAGATGAGCAATCTGTTGTATCAGCGGGCTGAGTCAAGCTTCTCAAAGTTAACTTACTTTGTCTGCACTGAAATAATTATCGATGAGCCACAGAGACAGCCAGTGTGTTTTAATATCTGTATATCAAATGGGTAACTTCTGCAGTTTCACACTGCATGCTTTTCCTAAGCGCTCTGCCCCGTTGTGATTGATCAAGTGAGTGTACTTCTGAACACAGGAGAATAAAGGAGGTTTCTCTTGACATCAGTGTGTAAATAATGGAGTGTTCTTTGAGAAGTTTTGATGGTTTATATGTTCTAGTTGTAGACTGACGTAGACACACAGTGAGATGGATTTTATGAGTACTAAACCACAGAGATTAGCGTGAAGACTTCGCTCAAGTGTTCTACTGAATCAGAGCCATGAAGTTGGACATCTGGATTTAAGTGGATGCTTTAAGGCTTTGCAGAAGAACAGGGACTTTTGTGTGTGCTTTGTTGAATTGCCTTAATTTATAAATCTTGGTTAAAAAAAAAAGGAAAGGAAAGGAAAGGAAAGGAAAGGAAAGGAAAGGAAAGGAAAGGAAAGGAAAGGAAAGGAAAGGAAAGGAAAGGAAAGGAAAGGAAAGGAAAGGAAAGGAAAGGAAA